CAACAACGAAGATTGCAGTGGGCTAGACTTCGGCAAAATGAAGAAGGTGAGGACGAAAACATTTGGCAAAACTGTCTCTTCGTTGACGAATCCCGAATCAGCACTCATCCAGATAACCGACGTGTCCGTGTCTGGAGAAGACCAGGCAACCGTGAAAGACAAAGAACTGCCACTGGAACAGTTCAGCAAGGCGGAAAATCGGTGTCCTTTTGGGGTGGCATTATGATTGGAGCTAGAACGCCTTTGATCCCGTATCGGGGCTTCATGACAGCAGACATGTACAAAGCAGTTGCTATTGATGATATCGTCAGACCATTCCGAGTAAACCATGGGCACCAATTTGTACTGGTCGATGATAATGCACCCGCACATCGAGCTCAACGAGTCAATGCTGCTCTTCAAGAATACGATATCACACGATTAGACTGGCCTGCCGGCTCGCCCGACTTAAACCCAATAGAGCACGCGTGGGATGCTCTTAAACGAGCAGTATGGAACCGTGAGCCACGTCCCCAGACAGTTCCAGAGCTCAGGGAAGCCGCTATTGAAGAATGGGATAGGTTACCCCAGGAAATGCTGGATAACTTGATCCTCAGCATGCCCAGGAGGATCTTCGCATGTATTCGAGCCAGGGGAGGAGTTATTTTATATTGAATTCACACCTTTTAATAATAAATTGTTGTTTAAGTTTAATTAAACAGTCTTTTTCTTTCTATGAAATTTCTATCACTTACATTATGATTAATGGCTCAATTTTTTAAAATAAATAATAAAAAATAGTTTTATATTTTAATTTCAAACAGGGTATTCCTATTTAAAGAAAGCATACAACATAGATTTTTTCTTGATAAAATTAAATTTAAAGAATTATAGGAGCTTATGCTATTGATCGCAAACTTTTTTTGATGTGTGTACATAAAGTGACCACGGTTGTTATTTAATATTACTATAAACCACTGACACATTTACAAGGTAATGTACACTGAAGTCGAGCAAATTGGGTCGAGGTTTTCTGGCAGCTAAGATGCGTAGGATTTCATTGAGGAAAATCTACATGTTTACATTAATACAGAACATTACCCACCAACACTAAGTCACCCATGACAAGTTATTTATATAACCATAATACCATTAGTAAGTACTGTATATATAGAAAAAAAAATCCTATTTTATGTCACTGTCGGACTATGGCTTTTTAGAAAAAAATGTTCTTTAATGTGTGGTACACTGATCCGTTGTTTCATATGAACTATAATAAACGGAGCTCGGGTGAATTGCAATATAAACAACATAACCTAACCTCAGTACAGAGTATTAAACAAACCGACAAAAGTCATTCATCCCCTAGTTTACCACCCTGAGAGGTGGTATATTTTCTTCAAATTTAAATGGGACCACTTTTGAGGTACAGAGGGTACCGGAGGAGGTTTTCAAAAAAGGAGGAGGTTCTCAATTCGACTGCATGTTTTTTTTGTGTCTATGTTACGCGATAACTCCGCCATTCGTGAACCGATTTTGATGATTCTTTTTTTGTTGGAAAGAGGGTACCTCAGCCGTGGTCCCATTTAAATTTGAAGAAAATATTCCACCTTTATTAATGGCAAATTAAGGGATTAATGACTTTTGAGGTCGGTTTTTTTAGTAATCTGTACTGAGATTATTAAATTTTGAAAATTAAAACTGTGTTTGGTCGGCACAACGCCCTTATAGGCTGAATGAACTTTTGACGTCGCAGGATGTGACTGGAGCAAAATTAAATTTGCACAACTCTGCTAGTGAGTATGGCACATCTATGTTGCATTATAATCTTGAGCATAGTACATAGTTAATATTTTTAGTATATAAAACTTTTTTTTTTTTTTAAAGTTTTATAAAATTTCATTCAATTTTATTCATTTTTATTTTTAAATAGGATCTTAACTAAATCTATATTATTTAAATGTTGTTCACGGTGATCATCGGTTCCAAGCTAAAGAGTGTATTAAATTTTTATTATGTAGAGTAGTTAGTAGAGTATTAAGTTTTAGGTATCGTACATAGTATCTGTGATTGTCTTAAATAAATAAAATTGAATATCATGATGTTTTTGCCATGATATTCACATATTTTGTGGGAATACTCCATAAATAGTAACAAAAAAGTCAAAATCGCTTGACAGTCGCAATACTAACCACAAAGTTAAGGCTTTCCTAGTCATCAGCTTTGTTTCCAAGTGGAGACTGTACAATTACATCCCTCTTATTTTGTTGACCTTTTTTATAAAAACTTTTTGTTTGTATGAAAATATGATCCAGTTCTCAAACGCCATTTGACAAGGGTAGAGACCGCTGCATAGCATTTCGAAAAGCCTTCAGATCGGTCATTTTTAGTGAAGCTTTGTATGTAACGTGTGTTAAAGTTCTAAATGCAGGACGACAACTCCCATGTGCCAATTTTGTATGGTTTTGGAGAAAACGTACATCAAAGTTCCTCGATTATCATACTTAGAAATTTCAAAAATGAATAAATCTCAAACAATAATAATACTATGAAATATATTAAATTTTGATATGAAAAGGAATTTAAAATGCCATTATCAAGCTTTGTAGCTTTTCCAAAGTGTAAGCTTAAGTTACGAAAATCGAATATTTTCTTAAAATGGTCATAATTTTTTTCTTTTTCATTTCGCGTTAGTAGCACGCAGAAATTGTTTAAAAAATGGTTAACCTTGCATACTATTCACACAGAAAAAGCGAGCTGTTAAAATCGTGGGTTTTTGGCAATAATAAGGTCTAAAGATTTTTTAATTCACTACGCCTGAAATTTTGTTGTAATAATTACTAAAAATGTCGGATCTGAAGGCATTTTGAAATACTTTGCACTGATGCATAAAAAAATAATAAACGCGTAATGGTGGTAACTCTGTATGAAACAAATATTTAGTACAGACGCAGTGCCGAAGCGTGCTGGCTAGTGGGCTTCGATCCTTAATCGCTTATTACGACATCCAAGTTATATTGCAAAATTTATATTGATTTCACGAGGTACATTACATGGAGTAAGCATGGAGGTAACCATTATTAATCCTTCTTGGACCACCATGCATAATAAATGAAAAAAATACGACATGCTTCTTCTACGCAAATGGACAAAACAAATATTAATTTAAAAAAGTCATATCACGTATCTAATTATAAACAACGACAATCTTTTCGTTGTTTTCAGTCAATCATTCACCACAGAACGTTCCTATGTATTAAAATACTGCTAAAAAGAATTACTTCTGGTGATGGTCGCAGAAGGCAAACGACAAATTAGAAAAAACGCTGCCACTGTCGCATAGTCTTGCAACTAGAGTAATTGAAATGCAAAAGGAAAACGCCTGACACATTTACACGCGCAATTGTACATCAAAATTACATTGATACTATATAAGAAGTAGGCGTTAAATTACAGAAAAAAAAATTCCGAATTAACAATCTTTTAATTGTTGTAACTAAATACATAGTTCCTTTTGTTAATCAAAAGAATTACAAATTAAACAGAAAAAAAAATGATTTGGCAACAGAAGATGCTACATGTATTTATTCCTACTAATTATTATATTTATTAATTTTTTACAATTTAAATATTATCTTTAATAATAACTATGCTGCACCCCATTCGGGTATGTATGTACTTATTACCCATGTAATCTTTGTACCTACATTGTTTGCAAGTAAATAAATAAAATTAAAATAGTATATACCTCTACAGTAATAAACAGGTAAATAGAACACAATATGTACGTAATAACCTCTTCTAACATAGGTAGTAATTTAAATGTAACTCATAGTATTAGTGCTATACGATAACATCCAATTAAATTGCAGTTATAATTAGTATGTAGCGTTTATAGCACGTTACAATTACCTACAATGCACGAGAGTATCACTCATTTTGCGGTAATAACCCGCAAACCGAGGTTATCTCACATGATATTTATGAATATGAAATAATAAACCTAATTTTACTATGCCTGATTCGATAAATATCTTTTTGATATCTTTGTTGCCCTAAGAGCAGGTATATGTAAATCAAATCGTTATCTCCAATGAAGGCTACTAATTTTTGGACTTGTTCTGTTTTTGTTTCTTTAGTTTTTTCACAAAATTCGTTTCTTTGTTTTTTTCGAATTTTGTTTCCTGTTTCTTTATTTTCTTTTTCACAAAATTCGGGGAGCATAATATTAGTAAATAAATATGGCTGTTTACAAAAATAACGGAAAACGACCGAAACATAAAGGTTGGCGTATTGTTCATCAGAGGTATCGAAATCACGTATTGATAATCTGTTCATTCCATTAATTACATTGACTAACACCATAATAATGTTTCTGTTGATAAATAGTCAATCCTAGTGAACCTTGAAAGAGTGTTGTAATTGACACCATCAATTCCAAACTTCATATGGAAGCAACCATAAAGTTGCATTGTTTTCGTTCGTTCATCGATGTAACAGGCTAATTCGGCGCTACAGTTTATTTTCAGCTGTTCAAATACGTCAAAGGAAGTCGTTAGAGGGCCAGGTAAACTGGACCTTGGAGACTGTTACAAAAATATCAACGTAATATTGAAACGAGAGACGCGTGAAAGCTAAAAGCAATAGAGGTTATAACAATCAAGTACTTATGTATAGACTTACATATTTGTTTATTGTTGTTTACTAAAAGATAGAAAACAGAGAGACTCTTCAATATATGAAGTGTATTAAATATAGAAATGGACCAGTTGCAGATATGTAGTTGATGTAATTTAGAATTTCGTCTACAAAGTACTGTTAAGTGTAGCTGCAAAGTGCTGGTCAGATTGATAACACATTAAAGTAATCAAACAAAAAGCTTTCGATAACCGATGATTGCGATTACGCAACGTTTGTTTACGGATGGTTCCCGAATGCTCCACTAACACGCAACCGATATAGCGCAAGGCCGGCCAATAAAGCGCCCTGACTCATTGTGCACTGCGGCTCCTCATACTCACCAAGGTATGCACTGAAATCCGTAAAGTACTTCCTCCAGTCGGTGGATTTCAACTCGGAAGGATATGATGGGCCGGCTCTGTCCGCGCTGTACTTCCGCTCGAGTACAGGGGAGAACGAGACGGTTTTGGGGGATGCGGAGCGCGTGCGCACGGACGCCATCCCTTTTGCCGATGCCGGGGTATATAAGCAGGTGCTAGTCACTCCCGTGGACAGTCGTGGCTGCACCGCGGCTGGGAGAAGACTGGTTATTTTCGCGTGCGAGATGGTTTATCTGCGCGGGCGACGGCGGGTGATAGCGCGGTCACACTGCGAGCTGGCGACGACGTCGCGACGTGCTATTCCCGGCAGGTGGACTTCCGCCGCTGTGTTTCACAATCGCGAAACTTCATTAACCTCTTTACTCCATTATGAGAAGGGAGATTCTATAAATATTGTAAAAAAACACTGGACCGACACCTGTGCGTTATGTAATAGACCAGACGGAGCGATACGTAGGCGGGCGGTGCGGCGCCCTACAATACATACATACGTCCAACCACGAGCGCAACACACGTGCTGTTATGCGTAAACAAGCTTCGTTAGTTTATCGGCGAATCGGTCAAAAACACTTTCTAATTTCTAACGCGGTGGAATTCGGTTCTATATAACTATCGCAACAATTGTGTTAAAACGTTTACAATAAGTTTACGGTTTGTTTAAAAATATTTAGTTCCTGTTGCAAAAGCAATACCATACCAATTATGTCTAATTTTATTACATTTTACACATACATTAATCGATCATAAATATAGGTCCAACTATATTATTAAAGAGACAATAGACAATATATTGGAGTCAAAGACTAACCATTAAATAGATGCGTCGGTTTTTATTATTTACGGTTCGAACGATAGACCTGTTTACGGTAATTTTCTATACATAAATTTATCTTTCCTACAAACGTTATGTGATAAATTGAGGTCAATAGGCAAAAGAAATTCAATTTTCATTTCGAGTTGTCCTATAAGAAAAACGAGGTTTATGTCCAGCTGTGAAAACAATAAGCTGACATGATAATAAAAAAATACGATTAAGTTATCACCATCTCCAAATGTGTTTTTACAAAAATTTCTTCTCGTTTAACAATTGGTAATCTACATTTTAAAGGTCATGTCATGAGATAAGTGAAAATAATGTCGCCCTCAAAAATTTGATTTATGACCATACTAACATCTTTAAAGGTACAAATTACTATTAAATCTCAGTAATGTAATTTATCTGAGCAGCCTTGTTCTATGACGGTTCGTGGGCGGCGCCCATCCGTGGGCGGGACGGAAAACCGCCCAAGGTCGCCAGCGACGTAACACAGAATAGGTAAAAAATATTTAATAAAGTAGTACACATTGTTATGACATTGCTCATTAAGACAAAGTTTTTTATTCTAATAGGAAACTTGTCTTTATAATCTAGATTTAAACATATGCAACGATAACTTTCTCATATTTAGAAGCGCAGTCTTACAAAACGTTACAGAAATTTCAAATTTACTTCTTTAGAACATGTTCTGATTTTGATTGAAGATTTATCTCTATATTTTTTCTTGTTTTGATTTCAATCTTCTCTTAATTTTATTTCCTTCTTGCCGTAACGGTAAACCAAAAATAAATAAAAAAAATTAAATTAGTTCTGTCAACAAATAAAATTCTTCTACTATTTGTTTGATAAACAAATACATTTAGCAAAGCTATACAGTATATACTTTATTTATGTTCTTAATTTTGGTTTCACTTTTCATACAGGTTTTCAATCCCTATATGACATCAAAACTGGAAATGATGTAAATATAAATAGCTTCATAAGCGTTTTCGTTCTCTAGTAGAGATGAGGAGGCGAGGAATATCGTCTCAATAGATTGTTTAAGCAAAATCTTTCAGAAATATGAAGACGTCTTATAGAAAGAGGTGGGATGCAAGTTTCTGTTTCTAAAGCTATTTATTATTGGTGTTAAACACAAAGCTCCTGTAATTATTCTTAAAGCTTTATTTTGTATAGTATCTAGTTTTTTAAGTGTTGATTGATTTGCATTTATGTAAGCCAAAGTGCTATAATCAAAATGACTACTGTGCTCTCATAAAGCATGAACAAAATCTTGGGATCAGAACCCCAATAAACACCTGCTAAAGCCCTTAGAATATTGAGCCCTTTGGGTGCATTCTTAATTACATAGTCAATATGAAGTTGAAAAGTTAATTTTGAATCTAAACATATACCCAAAAATTTCTTATTATTGACCCAAAGAAGCTCTGTGCCATTATACATAACTGAATTCAAAGTGCAATTTTGTTTTTTTACTGAAAATCATGGCAGCGCTCTTAGTAGGACTAATGTTAAGTTTTAACTTGCCTGAATAATAATTAAATAGGTGGTTTAAACCCAGATTATTATTTTTAAGTTATGTACAGCAATATTTACATCTTTCTTAACATTGTACACAACTAAATCATCGGCAAATTGTAGAAATTTTACATTGTTATCTTTTAAGTATTTTGATTACTGACAGGTATACAAGTTGTAGAGTAATGGAGATATAGTGGCACCTTGTATTGTACCCTTGTAGACATTTATAGGCTCATGAATTATATTATTGAACTTAATGTACATAATTCTATCATACAGAAAATTAAATATCCATTTACAGAGCCTGCCTGGTATACCTATCTCACTCAGAATGAGAGCCAGGACGGAAGGGTCAACATTATTAAAAGCTTCCTGGTCATCTAGCAAGGCGCATACTGTTGAAGAGTGAGCATGGAAAGAGTTACGGATACGGATCAGAGTAACAAAACTCTGAGCACTACTACGACTGCGGAAACCGAATTGCTGGGAATTGAATCATATTGGATTCTACGTAAAAATCTAATCTAATTTTAATCATACATTCAAAAATCTTGCCAATACAGGATGAAAGTGATATTGGTCGGTAAGAATTACTATCATTATGAGGTTTATCAGGTTTTATTATTGATATGACACATTGCGTCTTCCAACTTAGAGGAATTTGTCCAGTTTCACACAATAAATGAAAAATTTCCAGTAGTACTTTTTTAGCATTAAAATGTAGATTTTGGATTAATCTGTAACTAAAATCATCTAAACCAGGAGTAGAATCTTTTTTGTGTGCATTTAATATAGTTAGAAATTCTTGCAATGTGAATGGTTTAATAAGAAAATTGCCCTCAGGATTATCTACCTTATCAAAAATGGAATCTAATGTTTGTGTATTAATATCTTTTGCAGATGGAGTTGATGGAGCATATTTATCGAAGAAAGAAGATATCCATTCATCATTTTTAGGCCTATTACAATTATTGGTTACCTTAAATCTTTTTATATAATTCCAAATTATATTGACCGGTGTATGCCTTTTAAAAGATTCACATAATATTCGCCATTTCGTTTTAATTCTTTGATTAGTCTTTTTTTAAGAGCATCTAATCTTTTATATCTGTAAAAATTTATTGCCTCTTTGCTTCTATAAACAGCTTCTTTACATTCATCATCCCACCACGCGACAAAAGTCTTTCTGTTATGGAAGGAATCTTTTACTATCTTTGGAATACAGTTATTCTAGAGTACATTTAAAATTTCGCAAAAATCATTATAAGTTTTTAAAGGGTCAGCAAATGAAATAACAAAATTACTAAACATTTTTTCAGATTCTACACTAAATGTAGACCAGTCTGCTTTATTGTATAAATATTTCTCGAATGGGTTGCCTATCTCATATTTATTTATAGAAGTATGTAAGTCTATTATGGTGTGATAATGATAACTCCCAATTGGGTCGTCATGAACTTTCCAATCGCATAGTGGAGCAATAATGGGACTAGCACAAGAGATGTCAATGGCTGATTGGCTATGATTAGCTCTTCCTACAGTTGTGGGAGAACCTGTATTAAGTATACAAAGATCAGTTTCATCAAGATTATTGTAAATTTCTGACCTTCTGGAATTGGTTGTAAGGCATCCAAAAGCCACATGATGACCGTTGAAATCACCAGCAAGTATCATTGGCTTGGGTAAATCATTTAAAATTTGTTGAATCCTTCTTCCTCTAAATTGTCTCCCTGGTTTTGAAGGAGGACAATAAGCACATAAAACGGTTACCTTTCGAATGTTACAGTGTAAAACTATAGCAATGGATTGTAAGAAATCGTAATAAGGTGTATTAATGGGTGAATATTTAAAGTTATCTTTGATTAAAATTTCTACACCGCCTCGTCCATCAGGACCATGTTTCAAGTGTCACCAAGGCACCAATCAAGCTATTAATAATAGGGGTTAAAGTATGAAATTGCCGATTTGTACTGAAAATC